CTCGGAGCCGGGAAGGTTCGAGACGGAGGCTGTGAGTGCCAGCAGCGGGCCGGGCGGCCCGGCTGGGCAGCGGCCCCTATGGCAGGGATGACAGAAAGAGCAGCAGCCTGGTGTGCACATCCGGTTGCTAGGAAACCACGGAGACCCTCCACGGCTAAGCAGACAGCGACAGCGAGAAGCCGCGTCCCGGCCTCCTAGCCTGCAGGCTGCGAGCGCAGCGGCGGGGTGCACCCCGCTCCCGGGGAACAGGAAGCAGCAGGTGCCTGCAAGCTGGCCCTTCAGACCCGCAGCCGGTCTGGAGCCCGAGCCGCTCTCCCAGGGGCTTGTCAGGGTTTCCATCATAAGCCCCGTGGGACGCGCACACAACTCGACTGCGTTGCAAAACCCCGACCGGGTGCTAGCAGCCTGGTCTCGGGCATTTCGCAAGCGCTTCCAGGAATTCAGGGTGCAGACTGTCGTGTCCAATTAATGCCCCGACTTCAGTGGGAAAGGCAGTGAGAAGAGCGCTAAGCTGGACTTGAACCCGCCCACGAGATCGAGAGACCCCCCCCCCCCAGTGTTCCCTCCTCGGCTCCACTCCGCTCGCCCAGGTACCCAAGGGACCCGCAGCACTGGCCTGGGGCATGCAACGCGGCCATCCGCCAGGAGAATCTGGGGGCGGGGGGGTCCAGTCCTTTCCTTTCCCAGGGGGACCCCACGTCGTGGCGAGTTGTGGGCATCCGCGGGTCGGTGAAACGGAAGGCCGTCACCCGGCGGGGACACGGAGGACAGGGCCGGGGGTGGGGGGAGGCGCAGCGCTGGGGGCCGTCCCGGGACCCGGAGCCTCCCCGACAGGGACCGCTCGGCACTAGGCGGCAGGGACAGGGCCTGGAGCATCGGGAAAACACGCCGAGGCACCCTGTCGCCGATTCCGGAAGACAGAACCCAAGGCTCGCAACCTCTGGGGCCTAAACTGGCCCTTCCCCAAGCCCAGCAGGGCGTTCCGGGCCCGGTTGCTCTTGCCGACCTGAGTGCCCCCAGGCCCCGAGGTCCTGGTCCCTTCCCACCGCACCCGCCGGCCCCCTTCCACCTGCCCAGCTCACGCGGCCCTTCCGATGCCCGCTCCGAACACCTCACCTCCACCAGACATCCCAATACCAGGAAGCCAAAGGGGCCCGATTCCACTTTGCCAACTGCCTTAGGCGTGTCCTCCGCAGTCTAACTCCCTCTGCACTTTCTGGAATGCTTACTGGTGCGGCGTGCGCTCCTTGAGGCAGGGCCCCCATCTCTCTCACCTCTAAGGCCTCGGGACAGCTGCACATGGCACACATCCTGGCCAAGAACCGTAGGGCACATGTGGAATTTAATTGCTCCCTCCGAATAAATCTATGTTTTATAATATTCTCCATCCATGATACTGCCAACATTCTAGAATCCTCTCAGCTTTCCCACAAAGTTTAACAAACAGCCTGTAGGAAGCTACTGTCTGTCTAGAGACGGACTGGTGTCCAGGCTTAAAAGATCATAGAAGAGCCTGTTAAAATGAATGCCTCCCCCAAAATAAGGAAATCCATTTCTTTTTGTCCTCAGCGCTTCCAAAGTATTTCACAACCACAGAGTGAAACGTTACAAAACATGTCATCATTCCCTGAAATTCAGCTACCTCTGGGGTGAAAAGCACCAGCTGCACAAAAATTCAGAGACACGAGCAACTTTTTATAGGAACTTAAGGCCACACAGCCCAAGGTAAATGGCCTGCAACACTGGGACAGCAAAATGGAAAGGATCTGAGAATATTTACAACAGGTAAAGGGTTCAGATCCAAATGCCAGAGACTGGACGTTCTGACCTGTTAACAGAGTTTTCAGGAAGGAAGAAGTATCACGAAATAAAATGACTCTGAAGTCCGTAAGAACCATCCCATATACATAACCGACAGACTATCTGATCTCATAAAATGGATATATTTTTTTCATTTTTAAGGGGTTATGTGCTCAGTTCATTTCAAAATATACAGGCTAATAGTTTTCCATCCTAGAGTAGTTATTTGGTAGTAACGGAATACAGCATCGACTCCTACATCAGTTCTTTGCTTCACATTCCTAACAGAGGGCTTAAGGGCCATTTCTATACAGATGTGAAAGAGACAAACAAGAACAGCCCCCCCCCCTTGGCCCCCAACAGGCGCGCGCACACACACACCCACACACACACACACACACACAGACTCTCAGCAGGAGCTCCCTGGCTCTGACACAGCATTCCCTCCAATTCCCAGCTTACAGGGAAAATGCCAAACCAACAATATTAAAATGATTTAGGTTAATAATTTACATCTCACACTAGTTTTTAAATGATCGGAAATCACAACACACACACACAAAGAAGTTTTTCAGAATTATCATCCTCCGAGGGCAACGTCAGTAAGCAAAACGTAAACATATTTGCACGCGTCAGACAGCTGAACAGAACATTAGCTGGGCAGTTACCTACAACCAATGAAAAGAGAAGAGAAAATTCACAGGAACGTGAACTTGGATTCCATTTTTAGGCTATTTAGATGGTTTCCTTTCAGCTCGAACTCGCAATGATCTGTGTGTGAGCCTAAGAAGGAGGGCTATATATAAGTTGCACTAAAAGTGAAATATAAAGACATAAACACTTGTTGCCAGTCAGTCTGTATAATCAGCTTATTCATAGTGAAATAAATGGAAATCTGGAGCAAGTCTTGTTCGGTTTGGCCCGTTTTCCTAATTCTTTGCGGAGCTATCTTGCACCATCATCAAATGACATAAGGTATAAGCATTTTGCATACAATGTAACTTCTCTCTCAAGAAAGGTACACTCTACCACTTAAGCCAGTTTTATTCTAGTTTTCTTTATGTAAGTGTGAAAAAAGAACAGATGTTTTTCCAAAATTATTTAAGCTTGGAAGACAGTCTATCCTTTTCTTCACTATAATCCTTCAAAATCACCAAAACCACCATGGTGATACCTCAAACAGCTGATTTCTTTAAAGCATAAGCTATTGAATAAATATCAGAAGGCACAGCATTGTTCCATGATAAAATGTTTATTGTAACAGAATGGTGTGGATTATTTACCACGCTAATTTCATTTCCCACCGTTTTCCACCGTGGGCTTGCAGGAAAAAAAAACAAAAAACAAAAAACAAAAAAACCTAGCAGTCCTACGTGTGAAGCACCGAGAGACTTCTACAACTTCACCACGTTTCTAGAGCTCATTCCCCACTGCCTAGAATCCTTCAGATCTCCTCTGATGCAACGTGTAACTGGAGTTATCGGCTGGCTTGATCATGCTTCATTATAAAACCTATTAAAACGGTCTTTTTATAAAAGTGCAGTTTTCTCCGGGTTACCCCAAAGTCCTGCAGGTACCAAAAATGAGATCCTAGGCAATGCTTAAAAAGGCAGAGAAGCTGGAGTTATTTTTTTCATTATGCAAAACTTGGCCCAGGAGAGACGGCCATGTACCTCGTTAGCTAAAACAGGCAAGCGTGTCGGGACTGCAAATTAATTTACTGGAGAAAGTTGGGAGGAGATGCGAATCCTTCAGGTTTCTGAGGCAGATCCACGTCTACCCGGCAGGGCCACTTGCTGAGGTCAGAATCCCTGAAACGTTTATCCTCCGTTTCTGCCCCGCACTCTGGGGAGGACACCAACTCCTTCTTAACCTAAACCTGCGTGAGGAACAGCAAAAGCCCTACGGGAACCTATGGAAGAAAGCGTAACTCTTTAAGTTCTCAAAAGTCTAATTCGCACGTGCTTGCTAGCTGCCCCCCAAATCCGGCAATCAGAAATGGAGGTGATCACGTACTGATCCTTTCTCCCTATATTAATTTCTTGTGTTTACGAAGGGTTCCAAGGGAGCTGACGTTATTATGTAACACGTGTCATCCAGCCAGGGTGATGCTATTAGGAAGAGAGTAGCAAAATCTTTCATTTTATCATTTATCTCCTTATCTATTTGTTAGAAATACCCTTTGTTAGGGCGCTGTCCCTCCCCCTGTATCAATCCTATGTTTCTGCCACTTTACTCTCCATAAGGTCTCTGCATTGAGAGGCATCTAACAAGTTGGGGTTGGATTTTCCTACCCGAGTCCAGAAGCCCACGGGCGTGGAGCACAGTTCCCTAAACGCAGGGAGGACAGCAGAGTGGTTGCATCAGAAGCCCGGAGTGAGGCAGACGATCTGTTCTGTTCACGCTGTCCCTAAAGGTAAGTGTACTTCTCCTGCCCACCCCAAAACCCGCAACCCTCAGGGTAGCAGCCCCAAGCACCTCACACTCAGGGGCAACATCATGCAAATGCCTTGAGGAAAGCAAGCCCCATTCTCCCTCGGATGGTATGAAAACAGTATTTAAAAAAAAAAAAAAGAATCAACAGACTGGGCTTCCATTTGCGGGCTGTAAATGCCATCCAATTCAGAAATAAAATAAAATAAAAAATCACCCCTCGATATGCGTATTTGCTTATTTCTGACACTTGGAGGATGCCAGCACCCGGGGTTTGGAGGGGGGGGTCCGGGCGTGAAAAGGGAGAAATCCGGGAGAGCCACAGAGGCACGGAAAGTAGGGGTGGCTTCAGACGCATTGCATTTCCAGTCTGATGAGCCTGCATTTGGGATTTTCCGGCCGGGCAGGCTTGCCAGGGCACGGGGGAGCCGGGCTTTTTAGTCCCCGTTTCACACTCGCTGGCTCGCACGCTCACACTCACGCTCACACTCACACCGGCGCGCGCGCGCGGCCGGACACACACCTGGGGCGCGTGCGGGCCGGGTTCGGCCGCGCGGGCGCCTACGACCGTGCAGGGCTGTGAAAAGAAAAGAAGAAAAAACGAAAGCAGCCCGGCATCCGACAAAGACCGCGAGGCAGCGCAGGGGCGGCGAGCGTGGCTGCGGGAGGCGCGGCGCGCGGGGGGCGCCCCCAGGGCGCAGCAGCTCGGGAGGCGCCGGGCCCCGCGCCCCAGCCCCGCGACCCCCGCGCCCCTGCCCCCTGCTTACTGTGGGCTCTTGGGGTAGAAGGGCAGGGTCACGTGGCTGAGGTCCTGCAGGTCGAAGGCGGTGGGCTCGGCGGAGATCGCCTGGCGCTTGGTGCGCGGCTCGCCGTGCAGGGCGCCGGCGCTCTGCTTCTGCGCCTGCTGGGTGGCCGGCCGGATCACCGAGCGGTACTTGTCCAGCTCGTTCTGCAGCTTCTGGATCAGTTCGTCCTTCTGGTCCAACTCCAGCTCCAGCTCGTCGATGAGGGCATCGCGCTGCCTCAGCTCCTCGATCTTCTCCTGGAGCGCGTACTGCAGATCCCGCAGGGTGCCCATGCTCCGCCGCCGCCGCCGCGCGCCGGGGCCGCCTCCCCTCTCCGGGCAACTTTCCCCAAAGTCGCCGCCGCCTCCCGCCTCCCGCCTCCCGAGTGCCGACGCTTCCCACTCGAGCCCGGAGCCAGCCCCGGCTTCTGAGCATGCCCAGTCCGCCGCTCCGGCGCCGACTTTCCGTGCGGAGCCCACTTGTCGCGGCCGCGGGAGGCGCCGGGCGCGGGGAGCGCGAGCCCGCGGGTCGGGGCCGGTGCTGGGCGGGGGCGGGGGCGGGGGCGGGGGGGGGCGGGGGGGCGGGGATCGCGGGAGGCACCGGGGGACACGGGGAGGGGCGAGGGCGCAGGGGGGCGGGGAGCGCGTGGGGGCGGGTCGGGGCCGGGACCCGGCGGGGGGGGCACCGGGGGGCCGGGGGCACGGGGGAGGGGTGAGGGCGCAGGGGGGGGCGAGGGCGCGGGGGAGCGGGTCGGGGCCGGGACCCGGCAGGGGGGGCACCGGGGGGCGGGGGGCACGGAGGGGCACGGGGAGGGGTGAGGGTGCAGGGGGGCGGGGAGCGCGTGGGGGCGGGTCGGGGCCGGGACCCGGCGGGGGGGGGGGTACCGGGGGGCGGGGGGCACGGAGGGGCACGGGGAGGGGTGAGGGCGCAGGGGGGCGGGGAGCGCGGGGGAGCGGGTCGGGGCCGGGACCCCGCAGGGAGGCACCGGGGGCTGGGGGGCGACGTGGGGGCGAGGGCGCGGGTGGGCGCAGGGGGGCGGGGGGCACGGAGGGGCACAGGGAGGGGCGAGGGCGCGGGGGGGCGGGGAGCCTGGGGGGGCGTGGGTCGCGGCCGCGACCGGGCTTGGGGGGCACCGGGGAGGTGGGGCGCGGAGGGGGCGCGGAGGGGCACGGGGAGGTTGGGTCGGGCCCGGGACCGAGGGGGAGCGCGGGGGGGGCACGGGGGAGCGCGGAGGGCGCGGGGGTCACGGAGGGAGCGGGGAGTGCGAGCCGGCGGGTCGGGACCGGGACGGAGCCGGGGCGCGCGGGGGGCGCGCGGGGGGCGCCTGGTGAGCGGCTCGGCTGGGCGGAGCGGGCGGGCGCGCCACTTCGGGGTGGGGAGGTGCGGGGGGCGTGCGGGAGGGCCGCCCCCCTCCCCTCCCCTCCCCCTTCCCCTTCCCGGGCCTGGAGGCCGCGGGGTACCGGCCGGGCCGGGCCTGGGAGCTGCGGGGCCGCACGGGCCGGTCGCTCAGGCCGCCCTCCGCGGGGAGCGCCTCGCACAGGTGGCCGCGCCGGGGAAGAAACTTGCCTCCCGCCGGAGCCCGGGAGCCGGAGGGGGTCCCCGAGGCGCAGGTGCCTCGGGGGCGGGGCGCGGGGCGGGGCTCCGGCTTGGCCAGCCGCCCCCTGCGCCCCCTGCGCCCCGGGAGGTCCCGCCAGGTCCGGGCGGAGCAGGCCGCCCGGCCGCTCCCCCTCCCACCTGGGCCCGGCGCCGCCGGCTGCGCACCCGGGGGCCCCGGGGGGTGGGAAAATCACTGCCGAGCTCCCCCCCCCAAAAAAGTCCATCCTGAAATTGAACTGTATCTTTAGAAATATTCCTTTTGTGACAACCAAGCTGTGAGAACCGGCTCCTTACACTTGAATGGCAAGAGGCAAACTGTGAAGAGGAGGGATCAGGACGAGGGGGAGGCGCAGACGGGCTGCACAAAGCTACGGTGCCACCCAGCGCCCCCCACCCGCCTGGTCCCGGCCCTGCCCGCTCAGGATTCCCCCAAACTGTGGCAATTCGGTAGCGTCTCTCTGCGGAAATGGACTCCTCCCAGCACCTGACCACGAGCCTGGAATCTGCAAACATGCGCTTAGTGCTCACCTGCATTCCTAATATTTAGCTAGATCTCCACCAACTCGTCCAACTTCATGGCCCCTTTATCAGCAGCCCCCTAACGACTATTCTTGGGCGCTCGCTGTTAGAAACCAGTGCTCTCTGGCCATTCCTTAACACTAACAGGCGGTGGAAATCGAATGGCAATCCAGAACTATACTTAAGCCAAGAATGGATAGCTCCATCCCCCCCCCAAAAAAAAAAAAAGATTCGCTTTTACTTTCAAATACACAACTTTTTCTACCTGAGCCAAGAGAAAAAAGAAAAAGAAAAAGGAAACCAACTAGCCAATGGCACATTAACCAACCTTTATTTAGATTCAGAGTATCTCTGTGATTAGAAATAGGCATGACCCCTCGGTCATGGTCTCAGGCTCTTGGCACAGAGGATTTGAGACCATTTTTCTGCCTTCCAACAGGCACATTTTCAGAAATGCACTTAATGCAGAGCGTAATACATAAAGTGGATGATCCCCGAAGCTGTTTCATTTGTAATGAACAGAACAGGAGTGACTTACAAATACTGACAGCACTGAAACACTTCTGAATTGTTGTCTTGATTAAAACTAAATCAAGCAGAAGTGCTGTGGCTTCATATAACAAACTCTGTTCTAAAAGAGAGCTTCTGTGACAATTTTCTTGTCCCAGGCAAAAGGCCAAATTCTTATTTAACCTATGGGGATGCTTTAACTCCATGCGAAAAGGCTTGACACTAAATGCCTTCTTCCTAAAGATTGACCTAGGGGTCCCTGAGGCCAAGACTTTATGCCTACAAATATATCAGAAGCAATGAACCGGGGGATCTTTAGACAACTGCTAAGCAGGGCAATGTTTTAAGGTACATTTGAGGCTTAAATGGAGTTATTAATGTCTTAAGGCAGCACAAACTACAGAAGATCTTTCATTTGTAGAAAGCCTATCTACATGCACAAAGGAAAATAAAAAATAGCATTTCAACCAAAAAAACATTCAGGCATTTTGAATAAAAGTGAAGTGTTTCTACACCAAGTCACGGAAATCTTTCACTCTTTGCGATGTCATACCTACCTGCGACTAAGGCTATATCCATGCTACAGTTCATTCTCGTGATACAAAAGGTATCCCATGAGGAATCCTATCCCAAGAGTCCCAAATCTGCTCTAATACATGCCAAGACAGGAAATGGCCAAAACCTGGGACTCTTGTAATGGACTCACCCTTTTAAAAGGTATTCAAGGTATAAGAATATATTTGGCTATATTAGCCTATGCTAGGAAAAGAATCATTTCCCCCTCACTTTATATGTGCAAAATCCAGAATTCCCGACCTTTCCATTCTTGTGGTCAAATATTTTAAGTAAGTCTCTCAACGATGCTCTTGACTGGTTGTTTAGGTCTTAAGGGGCCCGGTTTTCCATCTCGACCTTTTGAGTGATCCCAGTCTTTTTTAAAACATCTTTTGTATCGTTCTTGATAAATGCTGGAAATAGAGGTTATGCAAAAAATCGAGATCAAATCTACCACAGGTCTCGTGGTAAACTAAAGTGGCTAAACCATGAGATCAGAGTTCAGGCACAAGGCTACTTTCTCTAGAATTCCAGAACCAAGTCACAGCTGGTTCTTTAGCAAGTCCCAGCCCCTTAGTCCCAGCCGCTAAGAGAAGCAGGCCCACCTGTGGCAGATCGCTGCTCTTCAACTTTGCACCCACCCCTCACCACTGAAAATACCTCTTCTCATGCCTTCCTTATTCAACCTCACAACCATTTAGTGGGCATTCGATAACACAGCCTCATCCAAATACTGGATCTTAAACAATAAAATCTGTAGAATTTATTACCCTTTGCAAAAACCTTAATTAGCCTCAGAAGGACACGCCTCCAAGTGTCCATTCCACTGATGCTACATTTCCTGGAAAAGCCCTGGGGATGAAATTTTCTCCTGCCATTTCATGTACATATCTTCTTGAGTAGATAAAAAAATAAAATTAAATTAAATTTAAAAAGCAAAACAGAGCTGACCTTTTTAGGTGAGAGAAGCCACCCCTTAGAGAAAACTGCTACAGGTAACAAGGACTCCCTACGAAATAGGGAAGTTACCAATCTAAGTTGCCCATCGTAACCAAGGCCAGAGTAAAAACAACTAACTTCCTTGAACTCTTAATCTATGACAGGCACTACTTATGTAACCCCACGGGGAGAGGTGAGGGGGTCTTTATTATTACCCCCACTTACATTTGAAAAAAAGTGGAGGCCATGCATCACCCACCTAATGAATGGCCAAGCCTGGATTCAAATCCAGCCCACAGGATACAGAGCTCAATCTCTGACTCCCTGCCCCTCACAATCTTCTGCAAGACTTCCAATTGTTGCCAAAGTCTGGATTCTCCATCCAGAGAGAGAACAATACCCTCAACAGTTCCTAGCCTGATTTGGGGGTAGGGAAGGTAGAAAGAGGAAAAACTTGGAGAATCCTGAAAAAGCAGGAAAAAGAATTTTTGAAACTTCTTCTTCCCAAAATTGTCTTCACTCCAGCACCTTTACCATCCTGATTGAAGGCGACTAACTTGCATCCATCTGTCCGGGACTGTCCTCGTTTTAAATCTAAAATCACTTGGATTGTCGCGGTTGTAAAGCTGAAGTCCTAAGGACCCCCTGGTCCTGGGGAAGGCGGGACAGTTGGTCACTCTATTTATATGGGGATAGCTGAACCTCCCTATTTTATAAATATTTTCTAATTCTGCTTTCAAAGTTACAGATAGAAAAGTAAAATCTCGGAAGATCTAGGACAGTAATACCAATTCTTTTAGGTCCATTACAAACCCACTTACATGCTGGTCTGTGTCGGTATATGTTAAGGAAACAATCATCCTATTTCACTGCGTAAGAATGTACCATGGGAACTGTCTTGGGCTATAAAGTGGATGAGTCAGATGACAGAATTTTAATTGCACTTTGGTAAATGAGACAAAGATTCTAGGCTCTCTTTTTGGTTTACTGTTTTTATAAAAATCTGACATATTGGCTTTCAATGGGTAAAGCTCAATAATTAAAGCACCTGCTATTTGATTAACTCCTGCAGAATTAGATTACTCTTACGATTATATTTGGTAGAGGATTCAGCCATCGGGAATCCCTATTTAAATGGATATAAGTAAAAATTCTAATGGTTTGGCTTTTTGAAGTTAAACTTCTGTGCATGGTGTGTTCTGCATGGAAAGGGGGGAAAAAACATGAACCATTAATGATGAAAAACTTACTGCAGAGATTTGGAAAGTAATAGTGCATTGTACCATAATTGCTAATGTGCTTAGAGTTTAATACCGAATTAGTGTCATGCCTAATATCAGTTGAAATAAATTCT